TTCCTTAGTTTTTGAATTTTTGGAAGTTTCAATTTTCCAATTTTTTAACTTTTAGAGTTTCGATTTCTCGATTTGTTGATTTTTCAGATTTTCGATATTTAAATTTTAGATTTTCGAATTTTTAATTATTTATTTTTTTGATTTTTTGATCTTTCGATTTCACCATTTTTCAATTTGACAATATTTTAATTCCTCAATGTTTTAAATTTTAGATTTTTAGGTTTTTCGATTTTTCAATTCTTCAGTATTTTTTAGTTTTTCAAATTTTAACATTTCTGAATTTCCAGTTTTTCGAATGCACAATTAATCTATTTTTTGATTTTCCCAATTCTCGACTTACCAAAGTTTAGATTTTTTAGTTCTTCAATTCTTCAATTTTTCGATTTTGCTTTTTTGGTTTTTCGATTTCTGAATTTTCCAATTTTTTAATTTCTCAATTGTTGGATATTTCTTTCAGTTCGGGGATTTTCCAGTATTTTGATTCTTTGACTTTTCGATTTTGTATATTTCGGATTTTCAGTTTTTCGTTTTTTAAACTTTAGATTTTTCAATTTTTCGAATGTTTTATATTTCGATTTCTCAATTTTTGAACTTTTCTATATTTTAATTTTTCAATTTTTAAAATTTTTCATTTTTTTGAGATCTCAGATGTTTGGCTGTTTTGATTGTTTAGTCTCTCGATTTATCAATTTTTCCATTTTTAACTTTTGGATTTTTCGTTTTTGGCCTATTTGGATTTCTCAATTTTTCGATTATTGGACTTCTCGACTTTTCGACTCCCCGTTTTAATTTTCCAATTTTTTAACTTTTAGAGTTTCGATTTCTCGATTTGTTGATTTTTCAGATTTTCGATATTTAAATTTTAGATTTTCGAATTTTTTTTTTTTGATGTTTTGATCTTTCGATTTCACCATTTTTCAATTTGACGATATTTTAATTCCTCATAAATTTTAGATTTTTCGATTTTTCGATTTTTCAGTTCTTCAGTATTTTTTAGTTTTTCAAAATTAAAAAAAAAGCCGAAAATTTGAAAATACAATACTGTTATTATTAATATTACACTGCACCTACCCAAATTAATATACATGTCCTTGCAAAAATGTTTCTAATTTTTCGAAAAAACTTAATATGTTTTATTAATTTTAATTACATCTGCTATTTATCTGTCTACTTAATTCAAAACAAGTCATCCTCTGTGGACAAAAAAACCTTGACAAATGAATAAGATGAAAACTAAAGTTCCTAACTTTAAATCTAACGTCAATCAAAAGTTAAAATTTTATTTCTGAAACAGGTGAACAATTTGGGCTTTTAGAAGCTATGAGATAATTATGACTGAGAAATTTCTCTTCAAAAATATTGCGTAAATTAAAAAAAATGTTACAAATAACAAATACACATTTTTAGTGTCATTATTTTGACCTGGAATTTTTAAAATAATCTAATTATTAATTGTGATTTTTACTTCATGACCTCTAGAACACGAAAAAATAGGTCCCCCAGTTGTATTTGTCCGTCTATCATTATCTACCGTCTGTGTCGATTTTTATTAGACATATGATTTCCGAAACTATCGGAACGATTGTTATCAAAATTTGTATGTGTATTAGGAATCATGTAATCGGTAAGGCTCTAACAAAACGTTTGTCCCCACCAAAAATGTGATGACGTCACCTCAAAATTCTGTAAAGTAAATTTTATTCAAATTTTATAAAATAGCGTACTCTCGCGTTTGTGGTTTATGATTCCGTCTTGATTTTTTAGCCTATAGATCCATAGTTTGGGAAAAAGAGTTAGTCGAAATTATCAATTTTTCAGTACATGCTTAACTTCAAGTGTTTATGTTTATACTTCTAAAGAATTCAACTATTAACAGGTTCAGATTACCAGCACCAACGATTAAAAAAGAATGAAATTTGATTGATTTTGTCTCTTCAACGGAGAGGAGAGGAATGATTAGTTAATTATACACACTCAATTTTTTCCCAAAAATATATAAATTTTAAAAATGTAAAAATTCTAAGACGGCGTAAAATTTTAATTGACGATTTACTATGCTTCCAATAACCTTCAAACATTTTGCAAGGTTTGGGATTATTAAATTACAAAATTCTGTTATACAATTTTTTTTTCAAAAATCTGGGTGTCTATGGTAATAACTAAACGCGGATTCACAAATCTTATTTTATACAATTTAAATGATATTGTTAATGTAAATTTTGGAGATGGTGGGAATGATTAGCCAAATTTTTGGTTAGATCTACACGATTTTACTAATATGTATATAAAATCAGACAGACGGCAGACAGACAGACAGACGGAAACAGAAGACGTATTTTTCCTATTCTAGGAGTCATGAAACGTCGAGAAAACATAAAAGTATCCAGTGGCCCAATGGACTCGATTACAATACTTCCTTAGCTTACGCTTAGGTATTAAAAATCAAAACTGTACACCAACATTTTACAATTTGAATTTGAAACTACAAAACCGAATGCTCTAAAATCCATCTATCATTAATCAAAATCAATTATCAAAAAAACTAGACAAATAAGCAAGATGAAAGCAGGAAATTTCGACTGTACTTTACATTTAGAGTCAATCAAAAATTCAAAGTTGACTGATGAAGGAGATGAACAGAATTTGACTTTTTACGAGTATGAACAAGAATTATGCATAAATTAAAAAATACGACCTGAAATATGTCAACTCCTATTTCAAAAATGCTACGATTTTTCGATATCAATTTTGTTTTTCTTTCTCGTGGTTTTCGTGGAAACCTGAACATTCTAAAAATCATGAACAATCGAAAATGGTTAAAATTTCCAAAACGATTGAAAATTCAACAAAACGTACACAACTCCAAATGGTCAGTCATCAAGATTCTTTTTAATTTTTTTATTTTCCGTTCATCTGTTCATTCGTTTAGACAAATTACCCTCCTCTGTGCACAAAAACCTGTCTGACAATCTCATATTGTGGAAATTTTTAAAAAGAAAATTTCGTCCAAAATATAGTCACAATTATTGTCTAAATGAACACCAGAATTGTCCTCTTTGTGAAAAATTAGGCGGAATAGTGTGTGGACAGTCATGCGATCAGGAAACATGTGTCAGGCCTTTGTTAGAACAGTTCTGTAAGTCCCGTAGGAAAAATCAGCTTGTTTCAGATGACGGAGGGAAGTTTTAGGAGCATTAACTAATTTGTCTGATCTTTTCATGTTTCATCAATTTTTTTAGCCTACTGCTGGTCCATTTTTCTTTGTAATACTACCCATCTTCCAAAATAGTCCCACCTGATATGTAAACTATTTAACAAAAAAAATGTTTGTCCTATACTATATTATAAAAAATTTTCTCCCCGCTGGAGAAATCAATTTACCTATTTCATCTCCAACGCATAAACAGATGAACAAACAAAAACTAATCGGCGCTTTCCGCTAATATAACGCTTGATTAATCACCAAAATTAATTGACTCATTGTTTTGTGTTATGATTATAATTAACTTATAAATGGAATAGTTACTAGGCAACTCATGCCACCGGGAAAAAGTCTTCCCCAAATTGATTTATCTTGCTAACGAGCTTAATCCGTTCATGAAACCGCTTCACATTACAATCCATCCACAAGAACTACATTGTTGCAGCGCCCGTCCATATTGCTCATTCATAATTTGTTACACAAACATCACTTTTTACGATACTTCACCGCATCCAAATTTCATCCATGCTCGTAAACCGCATTTTAAATCACCCATTCTCAACGTTTTGTTTGCCTCGAGTTTGTTAAACCACCATTACCTGCACTCTCCACACCAAACAAGTCCTAATTGAGCTGAAATCTGAAGTGCTAATAATCCACTCGATCGCGAAAACAATACACCCAGACCGAACGAAATTTCAATAGACTCTGTCTAGTCTTAACTAGCTCCAAAAGGACCGAAATTAAAATCTCTCGTAATACGCGATTTCAATCGTGAACGTATGAATCACCCCCGTCATCATTAAAATCCCTCTTATTATGTACTAGCACACATGTGTGTTTGTCGGTTCATTGGAACTTGAATGAAACGAACGCCCCACCCTTCGCAATTAAATTCGATGACGAAATCATATGCAAAAAATCTCGATGGGCGGTTAATTACAAATCGATTGGCAGGATTGCATCTTGGAATCGAGTTTAAACAATTTAAGGGTGCGCGCCCCTGCAAAGCCACCTTAATCCCATCGATCAGAGACAGGGGCGGCGACAGGTGGGATTTGCACACTGACATAGGAAATTTTTACTGTGACACTTCTAAATCCGAAACTGTTGGTTTTGACAGTTCGTGAACACGAGTGGCGCCATCTAACTTATTACTGTAAAAATCGTGACACTGTTTTTTGTCGAGGACCCCCCAAACAAGCTCACAGTCGCCGCCCCTGGCTCTAAAGCAGCCGAACAAAGCTCAACAATAGAGCCCATATACCGGCGACGTAATCTAAGGAGGCGGCGTGTAGATGTGCACTTTTTCATTAGAGAATCCATGGGTATGCTGATTTTACGACCTTCCGTCTCTTTAACAATTGAACGGAGTTCTTTCACTTAACAAGAAGGGGGAGTGCGGGGAGCTTTTAAAAATCGCGTGTAATTTATTTTTCGCAATCAGGGATGGTGTGCATGATCTATAAATAATGAGGGACGCGCGTGGTGACGCTCGATTGTTGTTGGCCAGCACTCTTTGATCCGTTAGTTTTACACTTGTGAGGAATGTATGGGAGTCACGTGTCAAACGTGCGCCAATCCCTTTGTGCGGACGACATGAGTCACTGGATGAGTCTAAATTTATTGTAGACTTGTAATTAATAGGGTTACTATAACATCGCCGCGGATTTCTGTAAAATGACACTCATTTGGGATGTTCAAAGGGAATTTTGGAGTGTGTGGGGTTGTAACAGTGCACCAGGCGAGGGAGTTCCTGAAAAGTCTTAGAATAAAAAATAACTCGTGAACCACCCTGTATATAAACAATCATTTAATAAGAATAATAGAGACAAATTAAACACAGAGCGAAGTCGTTCTAAAGTCTACAACATAGAATACAAAAAACAAGAAAATCATTTTGAAGCTTCATTATGTTTCTTAGCTGTCATAATCCTAAATTTAATAGGTAACTTCCCCTTCTCGTTCAAATAACTTCTGACAGTAGTAAAGGACAGAGCAACACACCTCTCCTCCTTGAACAAACTCTCAGCCCTAGCAACATCATTATCACAAATTTCCGTAACCTTAAACTTCCTAATAGGCCCATCGCTGACCTCGAACTCATAATAATAATTCTTGGCTTGTTTCTTCGGCCCGATGAACTGAAAAACCCAAAAAACCTTCTCTTGCGCAACATCCACCATAAACTTATACCAAAAGTACTGCGCCCCATTGAAGAACGAGATTATCTGAACATCACGGTGATCCTTCTTGAGATCAACGCTCAAATCCATCTGCATTTTATACTCCATGTTGTTCCTGTGTACTTGCTTGAAATGTTTCTCCAGCTCTGTGTAACTCCCGAACCATTCGCACTTCCACTTGGCGAACTTTCGTCCCTCGCAGAGGAACTTTCGGTTTTTGCACTCAGCCTCATGGTCTGCTTTTTCCGTGGGCAGAAGGAGGTATTTGCAGCCTTTGTCTGCGAAGAAGCACGGGCCTCGTAAGCTTTTGGGGATGTTTTCGATGATTTGCTCTAGTTGGTAGTTGCGGGTTTTGGAAATGGGGCCTCTGCATTGGGGGCAACTCTTGACGGAGTTGGAGGTGATGCAGTCACCGCACATGCTATGGCCCGTTTCGCATTGCAGGATGGGTTTCGTCATGGTGTCGAGACATATGGGGCACATGATGACCTTATCGAGTTGGTTTGCCATATCTGGAAAAAATGTGTGTGTTTGAATTTGGCGCGTTTCGAGGTGGGTTTAAGCCGGTTTTGGGTGAGTCCCCGTTGTACTTAAGTGACATCAATACTGTTATATCGCAAATCGTAGTTGTTTGTTAATCCAAGATATCCGAAATGAGTTATCTTACAATGTTTATAATTATTATTACTTACTTGGAAGTTGTTACAAAATGCACGCTGCACCAAGACGCACTTACTAAAACTGCAGTTTAATTATTTGTGTAAATACTGAAAGGATTATAACTGCAGTGTTGAGTCTTCTTATTATTAAATATACATGATAACGTGTAACAATACTCGCATTGTCCGAGTTTTGTTTAGTTTAGCGAAAGGTATGACTGTACAGCTTGTTGTGACTTGGAGATAACGTAGCGCAATCGCAGTATACAAGTTTTTTAAGTTTGGTACTTGTAATGTTGGTTGCAGGACTACCATTTGCTTCATTTATTAACTTTAATTGTGAACAGTAAATTTGCTTTAGCATACATTTGTTCATTTCTCATTTAACTTATAAATAAAATAGCAATTATGTAATTGTTGGTTGCATACTTAACAAATTAAGGTAATAATAAAAATTTTCATTTCAACAGGAAGAAATCCCAATTACAGAAACCAAATACATAAACTCCTACAAAAAATTATTTCCCTATAAGAAATTACCATGTGAGACATATTTTTGAGTATCGTGTTATTAAAGAATACTATGTGTATTAAGAAAAAATTAAAGCCAAAGATAAACCCCACCCATACCTGCCCTGATCTAAATATTAATGAAGTTTTCATTCATTGGCCGACCCAGAGGCGGAGCCTAATTGCAAAATCATCAGAACTGAGATGGGGTGGGTGGGCGGGGTTTATATTTTGTCTTTTTTGGTTAATAACCATAGTATTCTTTGAACTACACGGTTCTCAAAAACATGTTGTTAATGTCTTGTAAAGAAATAAGTATTTTGCAGTTAAGTTGCGCCCTCTTGGTTCACGGTAAATAAAAAAAATCATCACAATTGAGATAGGGTGGGTGGGTGGGCTTACATTTTGCCTTTTTGTTTCAATATGTATGTGCAGATTTCTCTTAAAAAAAGGCAAAATATAAACCCCGCCCACGCGCCTATCCCAATTCCGATGATTTTTGTATTTGTTATAAGCCGAGGGGCGGAGCTTAATAATAATAAAATCCTCATTTTTCTACGAGAAATTACCATGTGAAATATAGTCTTAAGTAGTGGTGTTATACAAAGAATACTAAATGTATTATTTAAAAAAGAAAATCAAAAGAGTATCCCCACCCACCCGTCTCAATCTCAATCGTGATGAACTTTTCATTCGTTGTCAGACTAAGGGGCGGACCATAATACCAAAATCAGTATTTCCCTATACAAATTTACCATTTTAAACATGTTTTAAGTTTCTTGTTAAAATATGACTACACATATTAAAACAATAAATCGAAACGTAAGCCCGCCCACCCGCCCTACCTCAATTGTGATGATTTTTTCATTCATTGAGAGCCAAGGGGGCGGAGCTTAATTGCAAAGTCCTTATTTCTGAACGACAAATTAACAACATGTTTTTGAGTATCGTGTTGTTCAAAAGAATACTATATATATTGAGAAAAAAATAACGCCAAAGATTAAGCCCCACCCATCCCTTATCTGCCCTGATCTAAATAGTAATGAAGTTTTCATTCGTTGGCAGACCTAGGGGCGGAGCCAAATTGCAAAATCCATATTCCTTTACAAAAATTTACCGTTTCAAACGTATTTTGGGTTTCTAAGAATAAAAAAATCATCACAATTGAGATAAGGTGGGTGGGCGGGGTCTATATTTTGCCTTTTTTTCTTAAAATGCATAGTATTCTTGGAACAACACGATACTCAAAAATATGGTTTTAAATTCTTGTAAAGAAATAAGTATTTTGCAGTTAAGCTCCGCCCCTTTCGTCCACGGCGCATAAAAAAATCATCACAATAGAGATAGGGCGGGTGGGCGGGGTTATATTTTGTCTTGCCTTTTTGTTTTAATTTGCGCATCTTTCTTTTCACAACATGAAACTTAAAACACATTTAAAATAGAACATTTCTATAACGAAATATCAATTTTGCAATTAGGCTCCGCTCCATTTTAACCATTTTAACCATGTTTCAAGTTTCTTTAAGTTCTAAGATGGCTATGTATATTAAGAAAAAAAAAGGTAAAATATAAGCCCCGCCCACCCGCCCTATCTCAATTCTGATGATTTTTTTCCTCGTTGTAAGCCGAGGGGCGGAGCTTAATAATAATAAAATCCTCATTTTTCTACAAGAAATTACCATGTGAAATATCGTGTTATACAAAGAAAACTGAATGTATTAATCAAAAATGAAAAGCAAAAGAGAAGCTCCACCCATCCGTCTCGATCTGGGTCGTGATGAATTTTTCAGTCGTTGTCAGACCGAAGGGCGGAGCGCAATGGCAAAATTAATATTTCCCTGGACAAATTTACCATTTTAAACATGTTTGTTTCTTGCTGTTAAAAGATGACTACACATATTAAAACAAAAAGTCAAAATGTAAGCCCGCCCACCCGCCCTATCGCAATTGTGACGATTTATTTTATTCGTCGTGAGCCAAGGAGGCGGAGTTTAACTGCAAAATCTTTATTTCTGAACGACAAATTAAAACACGTTTTTGAGTATCGTGTCGTTCAAAGAATAATGTACTTTATCTTAAGAAAAAATTAAAGCCAAAGATTAAGCTCCACCCACACCTGGCCTGATCTATATAGTAATGTATATTTCGTTACAAAAATTTACCATTTTAAACCTGTTTTAAAATTCTAAGAATAAAAAAAATATCACAATTGAGATGGGGTGGGCGGGCGGGCTTAAATTTCCCTTTTTGTTTTCGTATGTGAAGACTTCTTTTCACAACATTAGACTTAAAACATGTTTAAAATGGAAAATTTCTATAAGGAAATATCAATTTTTCAATTAGACTCGGTCCCATCATTGCAAAATCCATATTTCCTTTTCAAACATGTACCATTTCAACAACGTTTTAAGTTTCTTGTTGTGAAAAGATGGCTATGTATATTACGAAAAAGAAAGGCGAAATGTAAGGCCCGCCCACCCACCCTATCTCAATTCCGATGATTTTTTTTATTCCTCGTAAGTCGAAGGGCGGAGCTTAATTGTAAAATCTTTATTTTTTACGTGAAATTACCGTGCGAAATATGTTCTTAAGTAACCGTGTTATACAAAGAAAACTAAATTCTCAGTCGTGATGAATTTTTCATTCGTTGTCATACTGGGGGGCGGAGCGTAATGGCAAATTCTTTAAGTTTCTTGTTGTGAAAAGATGACTACAGATATTAAAACAAAAATGCAAAATGTATACATATTTTGCAGCTGTTTGAATAAAATCGAAAAGGTAACCGTCCTTAGGTCAAAAATAAACTGTAATAAAAGGTACTTAATTAATTGAATGACGAATTTTGTATACCTACATGAAGTTGGAATTTTTTCTCTAAAACAAAGTATTCACTCATTGATTAATATTTTCAGTTCATTATTTACAAAATTGATAAAAAACTAATTAAGTGCCGTAAACTAGCTTGTGCACTAACCGAAAATGTAGCTATATGTAATAATAATAATTATTAATTAGCGGCTTGCTTTTTAGCTACAATGACGAAAATTCGATCGAATTTAACCTAATTAAGTAATTAATTACGACGTATGAACATGCAGCGAAAACAAAGTTACTCATCGCCTGCAGAATTAATTATTTAGGGCGCACTTTTTCAGCTCTGCGTTTGATGTTTTTCAGCGAGTCTTTTCACATAAATAGCGGAACGAGCGACTTTCCTCGGTATCTCAAACAACAACTAATCTCAGACAATGTCAGGAGCCCCATGGGTTAGATATGCACCCTTTAAGGAGTCGGGCCGTTAAGATTAAAACAACAGACAATAAAAATAAACGACCAATGAAACTTTTCCCAAACAGATAGCGTTTAAAGGAATCACCACGTCTCGAAGTGCATTTTAATTCCGCTTGATCTTTAATTAAATAAGTAGCTGCAATCAGAGGGGGGCTAAGTTTATTTTGTTTAAAATTTAAAAACTGTGTGTTGATGGCCACACTATTACGGCCCTGGCGGCAGGAAAGTGGAGCTAAATCTGCTTCAAAGTTAAATTGTGAAACGTATTTTGGTTGTATACAAGAGCCGGCATTCAAGACCAGTAAACCATTTTCTTATTTCCGGTTCCATATGGAGTGGCTGAATGGGGAAAGTTCCGGTGCTTACGTCAAAACTCGCGGATCAGGATTTCCTCTTTAGAATTGTATATCAAACGTATCGCGATTTAAATTAAGCTCACCTTGTAGCGTGTTGATGTAGAAACGCTCAAGTACGGTCCTAATGAAAACGTATGGCGGATTTTAAAAGCACGTGAGAGGAACAACGGCCTTTAAAATATTCATAGTGTTTGTCTTGACGAGAGAAAGTGGATTGGAATGGATGAAAATGACTTCAGAAGTTCTGATCCTTGGCGGGAATTGTTGAGGACGACTTACGAGCCTCGTGTTTTTCGCTGGCTTTACCTACTCCAGATTACTTCTGGGGGAAACAAAAGGGATTTAAACTATATTCATTATACTTTATACGGAGGCCTTCTTGCTTTATTATGTTATCCTTTTTACAGCGGCCGCAACCGCTGGGGATTTCGCGCGAATTTTTGGTGACGGCTGCGATTAGGATATGTTAAGTAGGTGAAAAGTTTCACGATTTTATGGAACGACGAACAGGGGGCCTTTATATCTAAAAGGCTGTGTGTATAAATATACCAACTTTTAGAATTTTGCTCTTAAAATTTTTATCTAATTATCGAAAATCGTTTATTATTGAAAAAATTATTCAAATTTTGTTCGCTCAGCGTTGAGCTTTCAGTTAAAAGCACTCAACTTTTTTTATTTACATAATGGGCTTTTAATAGTCTGTGGATGTTAGAAACTCATAACTTAAAATAAAAATGGAACGTTTAAGAAAATGCGCCTTTTCTGCCTAAACTTGTCAACGTGGTACAAATATAAAGAACACAAAACTGAAAACTACTCTCATCAATAGAGAGCGGATTTATAAGCACAAAAAAATTAAGAATAAGCGCTTAAATAAGCACAACATTTTCAATAAAAAAGTTTTATTTTAAGCAAAAAAGCATTAAAAACATAATCATATTACAAATCAAAGAACACTTCTTAGAACTTTGGATAAAATATTATTACAATAATCCTAGACTTTATATTTTACACACGTATTTCAGTTTTCTTTAAAACAATTTATGATTGTAATATGTTCCAAGTTGTCCACTGTAAAATTTTTTCGCCG